AGACAAGGTTTGAGTTCAACTTTGTCTCCAGGAGTCTATTTCTTTATGTCTTGCCTGAGTCTTAGAGCAGGTGTTCTCAAATCTTAAAAGCTCTTGTGCCCTGCCCCATAGTGGTGCCAAGAGCAGGTACCAAGGATGTGTGTGTGTGTGTGTGTGTGTGTGTGTGTGTGTGTGTGTGTCAGCAGCCCCTAGAAAGCCCCTGAGAGCGGACCCTGAGAGGGGCGGTGTGTGTGTGTGTGTGTGTGTGTGTGTGTGTGTGTGTGTGTGTGTGTGTGTGTGTCAGGAGCGTCCCTGAGAGTCGGCTAGAGCGGGAGGCGAGAGCAGACTCCAGAACCTGATTCTATCCTGCTATGGATTCAGAGCATTGTCACACATTCCAGATCCAATTTCAACTGGGAAAAAATGGGTTCTGTGCCAAAAAACAGACACTAAAAATGAACTTTTTGTTTCTTAAGTCAGGATCTCACTATCTGATTCTGGCTGTCCTAGAACTCGCTGTGTATTCTCAAACTCACAGAGATGCTCCTGCCTCTGATCAAGGCATGTGCCGCCATGCCCCACTGGAAGTGGTACTTAGGGTCTTGCACATGCTGGGCAGGTACTCTGCCACTGAATTACATCTCCAACCCAATTAATATTTATCTTGATGAATGATTTTTGTAAAAGTGTGTGTGTGTGTGTGTGTGTGTGTGTGTGTGTGTGTGTGTGTGTATGCTAAAGTGTGTTCTGGAGACATTGGCTGCCTGTAGAGCTGGAGTTATAGGCAGTTGTGAGCCTCCTGACCTGGGTGCTGGGAACTGAACTCGGATCCTCTGTAAGAGTAGCTTGCACTTTGAACTGCTGAGCCATCTCTCCAGCTCTACAACCCCCTCCCGTTTTTGAGATAGGTTCTCACTATGAAACACTGATTAGACTCAAACTCCTAGCATCCTCCTTTGTCAACCTCATGAGTGCTAGGATTACTGGTGTTCACTGCTACTCATGTCTGGGTAATGAGCTGCTCTAGTTCAATGATACGGTTTAATGAGCCATCTTAAATCAGTGTGCTGCTTTTGTTTATTTCAGCTGGTGGCTTATTGAGCACTTGTGATGTACAGGAGAGTAGAGATGGACAAGGCAGACTGCCCATCTCTGGAAAGCTTACACATTAGAGTAGTGATAGTGGATATGTGGAGTGCAGGTAGAGAGACATGCCTTTCTTTCCCCTCAGCCGTCATTTGAGTTTATATCAAGCTCTGGGTGTGTAGGGGGATGAAGATGGATGACTGTCTTTCCCCCTGCCACCATCCATTTCCTCACCTACAGCTAGTACCTGAAACATCCTCTGAGGGACCTCTTCCTCCCAGCCTCCCCCCCTTCAGCTGACTGGGTTCTAGTTGCTCTCTAGGAGTACACAAGTGATTCAGGTGTGGCCGGCAAGCACACGGTAACTCTTCGACTAGGTGGTTAGGTCTAGTCGGCGATTTATTTGGGATACTTGAATGATCTCAAGTGGCTGAGCATGAATCCAGACATGTGCAGCACCTCAAGCAGCAGATGTCCTTGTCTTTTTAAGTTGAATTTAAGTCTGAAAGATGTAGTCCTAGAATTTTTGGCAGCAATCTTATTATGCTGTGCTGTGGAGGGTAAGATCATTATGAAAGGGAAGTAGAGCAAAACTCTTTCCCTCCCTCCCTCCCTCTCTCTCTCTCTCTCTCTCTCTCTCTCTTGCGCGCGAGTGCGTGCGTGCGTGCGTGCGTGTGTGTGTGTGTGTGTGTGTGTGTGTGTACAAAACAAAATCTTTATGACTCTGGACGCCTGGGTCAAAGCCACACATAAAGCCTGACCCCTGCACTTACCAGGTGTATAGCCATGTTCCCCATCTTTTGCTGAAGTGTTTTTAAGTCTACTTTCTAACAGACTATTGAGTCATTTGCTGCAGCACAGCGCTTCTAAGTTGGCTGCCCTGCAAGCTGGCTCCTGCCATCTGCTCTGTAATAGCCCCACCCTGTCTCAAACTCTACCCAGCCAGTTCTGAAGCTTCCAGGAGACCCTGTGCGGTTGGCCAGTGAGCCAGTCCTCTGCCATTCCCTTCTGTCTCACTGAGCACTGTCGGAGGGAGCTCTGTTCCTGAGAACCCTGGGCTCTGCTACCCAGTAAGCATCTGAGAGATGGCCAGTTCTTACACTGTTTTGTTGTTGTTGTTGTTTTGTTTTTTCATTTGTTTGTTTTTTGACAGAGTTTCTCTGTGTTACAACCCTGGCTGTCCTGGAACTCACTTTGTGGACCAGGCTGACCTCAAGCCCACAAAGATGTGTCTGCCTCTGCCTCTGGAATGCTGGGATTAAAGGTGTGCACCACCGTGCAGGGGCAGTCCTTACACTCTTAAGACACTTAAGGATTAGAAGCTGCTTGCATCTGAGGACCCAGTGGTCAGGGACCTGCTCCTTAGTCCTTATAGGGCACATGCCCTGTGAGGACCTCTCTGTCATTCCCATATACGATTGTCATAGCAACTGAGACTCCAATATCCTCATAGAATAGACTAGAAACTTCAGTGGTTGGTTCAGGGTTCTGTGCTCCAATGGAGAAGTAACTGAACTTTCAAGACCCGCATCCCCACCCCAAGTCCTCTTTATGAGTCCAGGCCACCGTGGATGGACAGGTAGCCATGCAGGGGAACCTATACCCGAGAGGTATATTCAACTGAAGGAAGTTGTAGTTTAAGAGATGAGACTTGGGCGGTTCCAAGTCAGGCTAGAACCAGTGAGCCATCCGTGTGACTACGGATTTTCCAAGTTGCAGGACGCCAGTCTGACAGGTGGGGGCTGCTGCCGGGGAGGGGACTTAAGGACCCACCCCAAGTTCAGGTGAGCTAATCCAGCTAGAAAGGTGGAAGTTCTCAGGCGGTGTTTGAGTGGTTTAGGGTGCCTCTGGCTCTGAAACTGTCGACCCAGATTGGCTTGGCGCCCGGGGGGGGGCCGGGCCTTTAGCGGGGGTGGAAGAGGAGGGTGCCGCGCCCTGCCCAGCCCAGGTGTCGTCTCCGGGGGCGGGGTTTGGGAACCGGGCAGCTGGGGAGATTCCCGGCTGCACTGGTGGGAGGTTGGCCGTCGAGGGACCAAACCGGCGAGAGACTGATTCCAGGAGCGCGAGCGCGGGGAGCGCACTGAGCAAGGGACTGCAAGCATGTTCTCTAGAAACCATCGCAGCCGGGTCACAGTGGCCAGGGGCTCCGCCCTGGAGATGGAGTTCAAACGCGGCCGCTTCCGACTTAGTGTCTTCAGCGACCCACCGGAGGTGAGAGGCTGAGTCCCTGCCTTCCCCTCCCAGCCCTGGCAGGTAGCCCTGGTCACCCTGCCTCCTGGGCGCGGCGCAAACTGGGTCCATTCTAGCTCAAGTTGTTGACTTAGAAAGCCAGATGCGGACAGGGTGCGGGTCCATCCAATCTGTGCAAGCTCACGCATTGCCTGGTTGGGGTAATTTGCCTCTGACTGGAAAGGTCCCGATTGGCCTCAATGTGAGGGGCCCTAAACTCAATTCCAAAACTTGTGCCTGACCCAAGTCTCTCCAGCATCCTGGGCCAAGGTCATTGGGCAGCCAGGCATCCTCCAATACTTGTATTCTTGGCTGTGGGTTCCAGCGGGTCACCAGCTGCCAGGAGCATCCCACACTTTCTGTGGACCCCCCTAGGCCAGCTCCCGTTGTCTCCACAGTTCTGTGACTTAACCGAAGCCCTCCCAGTGCCGCTGTTACTCCTGAAGGGCAACAAGCCTCTCAGTTACCCCAAACTCTCTCTCTCTCTCTCTCTCTCTCCCTCACTTCTTCCTCTCTTTTTCT